TCACAAGGACTTTCGAGTGAAGGTCTTCACACGAATAATAAATATTTAATTCAAAAGAGGCTCATGAGGTTTCAGAAGAAGTCGGTCTAATAACAACCTTCATTAGCAGCCAAGATTTACTGATATCTAAAAAAAAAGTATAGGTGCAGTTCTATTAGAAGTTTTTTTTTGTTGTAACGAACAAAATAGCCGTCTAATCTTACCCAACGTGGTCCATATCTATGGTGTCTTTATTAGAAAGAAATCTTAGAAAAGCGGCTCATAATTGAAAGCTTTAATGACTCTAATCTTGTAAAGAGCGGGGATCTCTGATAGTAGATTACTCTTATGAACCGCAAGGTAGTCTAAAATTTCATTGCTACGCATTGTTCAAATCGTTATCAATTTCTGGGCTCACAGTCTTCGATTCGTTCTCTAAGAAACCAACATGCTCCAAGCCAACTGTACACTATTTTTACGTTCTCAAAACAACCCGAAACCTGTAATAGAGGGGCAGCCATTTTTCCGGACGGTATCCTAAAAGAAGTACCCCTACAGTATCTTCAACTTTGCCTTGAAACCCTTCAAAACTTTTCAATGACTTATGACTCATGATAGCCTCATTAAAAACGCAATCCTCCATCTCGATTCCTGGATTTCTCCGAAGAAGTCATATGCTACAATTTACATCGTCTTGCCATCTTCTCCAAAGTTTGTTGTTCAAAACCACTAATCACATACACTTTCCACACTTTCTCCCTCTATCCACCTCCATTGAAATGGGTCAAGATGAAAGGTTCAGATGCCGCCTTTCCTAACGTCATCATCAAAAAAGATTGCCGTAAACCTGTGGTAGAAATCAGAAGGGAAAAGAGAAGCATTCGCGGAATTCGGAAGCTGTTAAAATCGGGTCTGCAGGTGTTGGCTCGGCAGTCGACTCGTAAATCACGCGTGCGTGGGAGGTCTGTCTTTCGACATCCTTCCCCGCCTTACAAGGGGGCTGGGCCCCTCCCATTAAATTTGAATAAATAGATGATTCGCAGCCTATAAAGGACGAGACGGGACACCCCCCCCCCCTTAACCCTATCCCTTTTTTTTCTTTTCATTCGGTCATCATCAGCTGTCTTCCCGAGAGTTAACTGGGCGGAGAGAGGTTAACTAGATGCAGATGGCCTCTTCCTCTTCCTCCCTCCTTCAACTGTTTCTCTCAGGTAGTTTTCAAAAAGAATTCAGGAGGAGAAAAGATTCATTTACTAGATTTGGAACGGAACAGTTTTATGTTTTTTGTCTCCGAGTCCCCCGCACCTAATATGGGAAAGACCTCGAACTTCGAATTAGGCGCAGCAGTTTAAAACGAAATTGTTTTCCGATGATTCCTCATTTTGTGAAATGAACTAGGATAGTTTTTGGATTGGTTTTGATCCTGAGAGAATTTGTTTCTCAGGGTATAGTAACCCTTACCTAACTGATAGTGACACAGTTCATTTTGGAGTATTTTTTGGTTTTTACAGTGACTAGACCCCCTCTGGTAATCTGAAACATCTAAGAGATTCTAAATTTTATTAACAATGACTCTCAGACTCATTATACGCCCCGTAAGTGAGGAAGCACTACAGTAACCCCTAATACTGAGTAGAACTACCAACTTGAAGCAGTATATCTTTGTTAGATTTGGAGATATCAAAAAATTGTCAACTACAAAGTTGTTTGTTGTGTAATTTTACATATTTTTTTAGTTGACTACTTTTTCCTACCTCTCATTATAACTGAGATATGAAGCTTCCAACTAACATCGTAGTTTGAGGCGCTACCATAATCTCCGCTGCAGCGTTAATTTTGAAATTTCATATCTTGGTTCTTAGTTCAGATATGAAAAAATAGTCAACTACAAAGTTGATTATCTTGTAATTTTACACATTTCATCAGTTGAACACATTTTGCTATTTCTGTTAGTGGCAGAGATATAAAGCGTCCAACTAGCCTGAAGCACTACCGTAATCTCTTCTGCAGCATTTAGTTTGAAGCTTCATATCTTGGTTCTTAGCACCGATATGAAAAAGTGGTCAACTGAAAAGTTGTTTGCCATGTAATTTCACACTTTTTACTAGTTTGACGCTTTTTCCTATCTCTATTGGCAATTGAGATAGAAAGCATCCAACTAACCACGCTGGTTGTGGCATCGCGGTAACCCTGATATTAGGCTAACTTTGAAGATTTTTATCTTAGTAACTAGAACAGATATCAAAAAATATTTGACTACAAAGATGCTCACTAAGCAATTTTACACATTTCTTTAGTTGAACACTTTTTTCTATCTCTGTTGGCAGCCGAGATACAAAGCTTGTTATCTCTTTACAGTAATCGAGTTTTGTTTGGAGCTTCATACCTAGCTTAGCAGAAAAGCTGCACAAAAATTGTCAACTACAAAGTTGTTAATCATGTCATTTTAGGTATTTTATTAGTTGATCACTTTTTTCTATCTCCACCGGTCGCTGAGATATTCAGCTTCGAATTCAAACTACCCCAACAAATTACTCGAGACCTAAGGAAGGTTGTTCTAGTTCTCCATGAATCATCAATTTTGAAATCTTCTTCATTAAAAATTCCCACTTCCAAAGTTCCTCAGACCTTCTCTCCTTCCTCAAACTGAACATATTACGTGTGAATCCCTTAGACTCCGCCCCCCATTTCCCCTCATTTCCCTCCCCACTTCAACTTAATGACTGACCTAGACAAAGTTCAATTGTTATAGTATTACCACCCATCGAAATAAAAATGTACCTGTGAGGAGGGGGGAGGGAAATCTCATCCTATCTTTTTAACGGTCTATCCATTTCTCAATTAGACGGGCGGGCAATGGGAGATAACGGGGGAGAAAAATGAATGGACACACACGCACACAACAAAATAAAAAGAGACATCAAGTTTCGGGCAAAGATTAAAGAAACTTTTTTTTTTCATTTTGTTGATTTTCAAAAAAGGGAGGATGAGATCAAATGTACGCAAAAACTCTGTGTGGTGTTTGCGTACTTTGCGCGTTACAGTACCCCTCCTTGGGCGGCGCTATCAGTTTGAAGACACATATCTCGGTTGTGAGTTGAGATAGAAAAATGGTGTCAACTGATGAAATGTGCAAAATTAAATTTTGAGCAAATTTGTAGTTTATGGTTTTTTGATAACTCTTTCGGGAACCGAGGTACGCGGACTGGAGCTTGCGGGTTACGGTAATGTGAACTTTGACGCTTCGTATCTCAGTTGCTGAACTAGATAGAAAAAAGTTGTCAACTAGTAAAATGTGCAAAATTGCATAATAAACAACTTTTTAGTTGAAAAGTTTCTTATATCTCTGAATCTAATGGAGATATACTGTCTCAAGTAGGAGCTTTGAAGGAACCGTTCATCCAGTAGTGGTCCGAATTTGATGCTTCATATCTCGATCGCATGGGGAGCTACAAAGAAGTTGTCAACTGCAGAAATGTTCAATTTTGTATGCCAAATAACTTTCTAGTTGATCAAATCGAATTATCTCTAATACTAATCCAGATACAAAAGTTGCAACCAAACTTTCCCTTCTAATCTCCTCCCCTCCCCTCTCTTCGGAATTCTTATCCAAATAATTACCCATTTCCGGTGATGAAGGCGAAAAAGATTCAGCAGAAAAGGAGAATGTTCGCTTGTTCAACTAATCACCGCCCGTCATTCATTTCTCTATCTCTTGCGCCTCGCCTCCTAAATCCGCGGGGCGCCCGTTTGACTCCGCCCATTTAGAAGACTCCCCCCTCCGTTTTTTTGTCGTCGTGTGTCGCCAGAATGTCTGTTTCGCACAACCTTCCCACCTACTTTTGCAAATAGCAGCATTCTTATAATATAGATGATGGATATGACCACTTTATCTCTCTCTTCTTTATTATTACAGTATTCTTTGATCTTGATCTCTTTCTCTTGAGATGGAAGCTTCTAGAAGGAACTTCTTCTTCATTTCCGGTGCTGAAGATTTGTGATCATTGTCATTCTTTACAGTATATATAACCAGCTTGTCCCTCCGCCTCCTTTCTCATTCGCGCTTTTCTCTTGATTTACATAACAACAGTTGCAAACTTTGCGCGTTTGGTGTCGCGGTAACGCGTCTGTCTGTTGCCCAACAGGTCCCGGGTTCGAGTTTTGCCAGTGACATTATTTTTGTTTTTTTCCTAAAAAGCTCCAAACCGAATGAATTCGCTTTTTTTAACTTTTCTAAATCTTGTGCTTTCATCCCCTATCCGTACCGCCCGTCCTTTTTGTCAATTGGCTTGGCTGCTGGTTCTTCACATTTGTTTCCAACTGACGCGTGGAGCGCCTAATCAGTGTCTTCCTCTCCGATTGATACAAAGTTTTTCGTGTGTCGTGTTTGTAAATGACATTGTCTTTTCTTTTGTCTCTCTCCTCCTCCTTCTTCGAATCCGCCTTTTTGCAACATATTGTGTCTCCTAAACTTTTTTCCCCTAAAAATTGAATTAATTTCCAGATAAAATCGAACAACTCTGGGTTACACACGGTCCTTCATATGGCAAAATGAATTGTTTTCTGGCACTTCTTCTCACTGTTTTGGCTCCGGCACTTCACGCGTATAATGTTCCTCATGGCTTCCTCACAGGTTGGTTTCGGATTCTTGATTGGGGGAAGAGGATTGCGAAATAGGGATGATTAATTAGAAATGACCTAGCTAAGGGAGGATAAGGGCAGGCCTAGAATTTTCTACAGTAACCCAGGTTAGAAAACTGAAAACCTCTAATAGAAGGTCACCACTCTCATCTTTGCTCTCAGTGGGCTTATTTGGATGAGGTTAACTGGATTAGAGGGATTCGAAATACAATTTTTTGAAAAAATGGTGCTTTTCTATTAGAGGTTTTTTGTTGTTCCTGAAAAATTCAAATTTGATGCTCTTAGTTTTTTATCTCGTCTCTTTTTGCCTCTGTCACCTCCTTCGAAAAGAAAAAAAGACAACAGTTTTCTGATTGCCCCCTCCCTCTATGTCGGCTGTTGCACCCGTGGCCTAGCGGTTAGCGCCTTTGTTTTTGAAACTTGCATCGCGGGTTCGAACCCCACCGAGGCTGAATGTTTTTTTCTTTTCATTTTTGCAACTCCAGCACATTGTAACACTTCCAGGTCAAGCCGTAACTTCCCACTCTGGCCCCAACGATCAAGACGCCGAACTCCGTCATGGCGATGATGAAGTGAAGCGTGAGAAGCGGGGCTACTTCTTCCCAACAAATTTCCAAAACGATAATGGTTTATTGGCTCGTTCAGAGCATCCGAATGAGTATCTCAAGAAATGGATTGTTCACGAACACAACCGATATCGGCGAATGGTAAGTGGTGGAATAATTAGGTATTGTGAATACGGCGGTCTTTGGGGTTGGGGACACGGTGGCCGTGGCCGTGGCCGTCAAAGATTGCATTTAGGCGGC